GGCCCAAGATGGCGCAGCCGGTACCGGCGGGAGAGCTGCCGCTGCCGCAGCTGGAGCTGCTCAAGGGGCAGCTGGACCAGGTCCGGGGGGGGGCTGCGATGGGCTCTGTGGGGCGGGGGGGACCTGCTGGGCGGGGGTCATTGGGGTTGATGGGGGGCTCGGTTGGGAAGGGGGCATGTGTGGGTCTAGCGTGGGCTGTGGGCCTGGGGCGGATGTGTGGGGCCTGACTGGGGTGGGGGGGGGGGGGGGCTGTATTGGGCTGAACTGGGTTAAACTGGGCTATGGGGCTGGGGTTGATGTGTGGGGCCTGAGTGGGTAGGAGGGGATGTGCTGGGCTGAACTGGGTTAAACTGGGTTATGGGGCCATTGAGACATGGGGCCTGACTGGGTAGGGGGGACTGTACTGGGTTGAACTGGGCTAAACTGGGTTCAACTGGGCTATGGGGGCTGGGGTTGATGTGTGGGGCCTGAGTGGGTGGGAGGGGATGTACTGGGTTAAACTGGACTATGGGGCCATTGAGACATGGGGCCTGACTGGGCAGGGGGAACTGTACTGGGTTGAACTGGGCTAAACTGGGTTAAACTGGGCTATGGGGGCTGGGGTTGATGTGTGGGGCCTGATGGGTGGGAGGGGATGTACTGGGTTAAACTGGACTATGGGGCCATTGAGACATGGGGCCTGACTGGGCAGGGGGAACTGTACTGGGTTGAACTGGGCTAAACTGGGTTCAGCTGGGCTATGGGGGCTGGGGTTGATGTGTGGTGGTGGGGAGGCTATGGGGAGGCTATGGGGGGGCTATACTGGGCTCTGGAGGTTGGAGGGGATGTGTGGGGCCTGGCTGGGCAGGGAGGGGGGCTGTACTGGGCTATACTGGGTTAAACTGGGCTGTGGGGTTTAGAGGAAATGTGTGGGGATGGGCATGGGGGGGCTGTGCTGGCGCTGATGTATGGGGCTGGGGTTGATGTGTGGGGCCTGGCTGGGCTGTTGACACTGGGCCCCAGGGGATACTGGGGTGGGAACAGAGGGGGGGGGGGGGGGGGCTGCCTCATCCCCATGTCCCCATGCGTGACACGGGCCTGGGGACACCCCGATCCCCCCTTCCCGTCTCCAGGAGGTGGAGTTCCTCTCGTCCTCCATCGCGCAGCTCAAGGTGGTGCAGACCAAGTACGTGGAAGCCAAGGACTGCCTCAATGTGCTCACCAAGAGCAACGAAGGCAAGTGGGGTCTGTCCCCCCCCCACCCCGAGGCTGGGACCCCCCTCCCTGCCTTTGCACCCTAAAACTGCTTCTTCCTGCTCTGAGCCACCCCCCCAAGCCCCATCTGCCCCCTCTTGGTGCCGGCAGGGAAGCTGGGGGGGCCCTGATGTCGTTCTGGGCTCCCCTCACTCTCCTCTTGCCTTCCCCCAGGGAAGGACCTGCTGGTGCCGCTCACCAGCTCCGTATCCTTTTCCTGCTCCCAATTCCCACCCCTCCGGGCTCTCTGTGCCAAACCTTTGGCATCCCACGGTGCTGCCGGTACCCGGCACATCCCGGCTCCATCCCGGCTTTCCCATGGGAGCCACGTACCCCTCCCAGCTCCCATTCCCTGCTTTCCCTGACCCCCTTCCCAGATGTACGTCCCCGGAAAGCTCTCTGACGTGGAGCGAGTCCTCATTGACATCGGCACCGGTTACTACGTGGAGAAGGTGAGGGGATGGCAGGGGGATGCTGTCGGGTTTGGGCCTTGGAGTTCCCCATCACCCTCTTTATGCTCCTCCTCACTCCCTTTTCCCCCTTTTCCTCACCCAGGAAAAAGAGGGAAATGGGAGTGAAGGGGAGGGAAATAGAGGGTGAGGGGAAAAAGGGGAAACTTCTCCCTGCCCTTTCTTCCTCCTTCCCTTCTTCCCCCATGTTGCCTTCCCTGTCTGAGGGAAGAAGGGGACAGGGGAGAAACCTTTCCCTTCACCCCCCTTTTTCCTCCTCTTTCCCTTTTCCCCCTCTTCTCCCTCCTCTCACCCCCCCCTTTCCCCATTTCCCCCCCATCCCAGTCAGCCGACGATGCCCGGGACTTCTTCAAGCGGAAAATCGACTTCCTGACCAAGCAGATGGAGAAGATCCAGCCGGCGCTGCAGGAGAAACACGCCATGAAGCAGGGTGAGACCCCCCCCTTCCCTCCCTCTCCCCTGCCATGGGGGAGCCAGCACCCCCCTCCTGACCCCCTGCTCTCCCCCCCAAGCTGTGGTGGAAGTGATGAGCCAGAAGATCCAGCAGCTCACGGCCCTGGGAGCAGCACAAGGAGCCACCACCAAGGCGTAGCCTCCACCTTCACCCTGGGATGCAGCAGAGGCTCGGGGGGGGGGGGGGGGCTGTGGGGCACTGCTCCTCTTTCTCTACCTCTCCCCATTCCCTGCTGGCTCTTCCCAGCAGCACTGGACCCCTGTTTTTGTAGGCAGCATGGAATAAACGGGACTTCTCAACAGGGGGGCTCTGTGGCCATACCACTTGGAGCAGCCTCATCCCGGAAGTGCCCCCCTTCCCCTAAACACACTCCATGTGCCCCCAAACAGAAGAACTTTATTCCCAGCCAAGGCCCCATCCAGCCCCGCTCCACTGGCACAGGGACCCCCCCATGGCTCCCACCCCTGTCCCTCCCCCCAGTATCTACATCCATGGGGCCACCCCATTGCAGGGGGGGGCACCGAGGTCCAGTCCAGGGCCACTGGGGCTCACACGCAGGAGGGCACTGGGGTCTGGTGGGGCTTGAGGCACCTTGTCCCCTGCCTGTGGCAGTCCATGTGTCCCTGTTGAGGTGACAGCCTCGTCCCCCTGCCCATAGCTCAGTCCATGTGTCCCTGTTGAGGTGACAGCCTCGTCCCCCTGCCCATAGCTCAGTCCATGTGTCCCTGTTGAGGTGACAGCCTCGTCCCCCTGCCCATAGCTCAGTCCATGTGTCCCTGTTGAGGTGACAGCCTTGTCCCCCTGCCCATAGCTCAGTCCATGTGTCCCTGTTGAGGTGACAACCTCGTCCCCCTGCCCATAGCTCAGTCCATGTGTCCCTGTTGAGGTGACAACCTCATCTCCCTGCCCATAGCTCAGTCCATGTGTCCCTGTTGAGGTGACAACCTTGTCTCCTTGCCCATAGCTCAGTCCATGTGTTCCTGTTGAGGTGACAACCTCGTTCCTATGCCCATAGCTCAGTCCCTGTGTCCCCCAGCTCCATGTCACCTCATCCCCCTGCCTGTGGCTGTCCCTATGCCCTCAGTTGAGGTTTCACCTCATCCCCCTGCCCATACCTCAGTCCCTGTGTCCCTTGTTCAGGTGTCACCTCATCCCCCTACCCACCAGTCAGTCCATGTCCCCAGCTGAGGTGTCACCTTGTCCCCCTGCCCATTTCAGTCCCTGTGTGTTGAGGTGACACCTCATCTCCCTGCCCATAGTTCAGTCCATGGGTCCCCTGTTGTGGTGTCACCTCATCCTGGTACCCACAGCTCAGTCCCTGTGTCCCTTGTTACGGTGTCACCTCATCCTGGTACCCACAGCTCAGTCCCTGTGTCCCCTGTTACGGTGTCACCTCATCCTGGTACCCACAGCTCAGTCCCTGTGTCCCGTTACGGTGTCACCTCATCCTGGTACCCGCAGCTCAGTCCCTGTGTCCCCTGTTACGGTGTCACCTCATCCTGGTACCCACAGCTCAGTCCCTGTGTCCCCTGTTACGGTGTCACCTCATCCTGGTACCCACAGCTCAGTCCCTGTGTCCCGTTACGGTGTCACCTCATCCTGGTACCCACAGCTCAGTCCCCGTGTCCCCTGTTACGGTGTCACCTCATCCTGGTACCCACAGCTCAGTCCCTGTGTCCCCTGTTACGGTGTCACCTCATCCTGGTACCCACAGCTCAGTCCCTGTGTCCCCTATTACGGTGTCACCTCATCCTGGTACCCGCAGCTCAGTCCCTGTGTCCCGTTATGGTGTCACCTCACTCCCGTGCCCACAGCTCAGTCCCTGTGTGTTGAGGTGACACCTCATCTCCCTGCCCATAGTTCAGTCCCTGTGTCCCCTGTTGTGGTGTCACCTCATCCTGGTACCCACAGCTCAGTCCCTGTGTCCCGTTACGGTGTCACCTCATCCTGGTACCCGCAGCTCAGTCCCTGTGTCCCATTACGGTGTCACCTCATCCTGGTACCCACAGCTCAGTCCCTGTGTCCCCTGTTACGGTGTCACCTCATCCTGGTACCCACAGCTCAGTCCCTGTGTCCCCTGTTATGGTGTCACCTCATCCTGGTACCCACAGCTCAGTCCCTGTGTCCCCTGTTACAGTGTCACCTCATCCTGGTACCCACAGCTCAGTCCCTGTGTCCCCTGTTACGGTGTCACCTCATCCTGGTACCCACAGCTCAGTCCCTGTGTCCCCTGTTACGGTGTCACCTCATCCTGGTACCCACAGCTCAGTCCCTGTGTCCCCTATTACGGTGTCACCTCATCCTGGTACCCGCAGCTCAGTCCCTGTGTCCCGTTATGGTGTCACCTCACTCCCGTGCCCACAGCTCAGTCCCTGTGTGTTGAGGTGACACCTCATCTCCCTGCCCATAGTTCAGTCCCTGTGTCCCCTGTTGTGGTGTCACCTCATCCTGGTACCCACAGCTCAGTCCCTGTGTCCCGTTACGGTGTCACCTCATCCTGGTACCCGCAGCTCAGTCCCTGTGTCCCATTACGGTGTCACCTCATCCTGGTACCCACAGCTCAGTCCCTGTGTCCCCTGTTACGGTGTCACCTCATCCTGGTACCCACAGCTCAGTCCCTGTGTCCCCTGTTATGGTGTCACCTCATCCTGGTACCCACAGCTCAGTCCCTGTGTCCCCTGTTACAGTGTCACCTCATCCTGGTACCCACAGCTCAGTCCCTGTGTCCCTTGTTACGGTGTCACCTCATCCTGGTACCCGCAGTTCAGTCCCTGTGTCCCCTGTTACGGTGTCACCTCGTTCCCCTGCCCGCAGCTCAGTCCCTGTGTCCCCAGCTCCGCGTCACCTCGCCCCTGCCCACAGCCCAGTCCCCGCGCCCCGGTGCCGCGCTCAGGGCACGAAGAGGGGCTTGTGGACGCGCTTGTGGCGGTTGAGCGTGGCGCTGCGGGCGAAGCTCTCCCCGCACTCCACGCAGATGAAGGGCTCGTGCCCGTGCGCCTGCGCCCGGTGCCGCTCCAGCTCGGCGCCGTCGCGGCAGCTCTGCCCGCACTCGGGGCAGGCGGGGGCCTGGCCGCGGGCGGCGTGGACGCGCTGGTGCTTGAGCAGGTTGGTGCTCTGGGCGAAGCCGCGGCCGCACTGCGCGCACCGGTGGGGCCGCGCGCCCGAGTGCGTGCGCTGGTGCTTGATGAGGTTCTTGCTCTGCGTGAAGCTCTTCCCGCACTGCCCGCAGCTGTAGGGCTTCTCGCCGGTGTGGATGCGCTGGTGCTGGATGAGGTTGGAGCTCCAGCTGAAGCTCTTGCCGCAGTCCCCGCACCGATACGGCTTCTCCCCGGTGTGGGTCCGGCGGTGCTGCACCAGGTGCGAGTTCTGGCTGAAGCTCTTCCCGCACTCCCCGCACGTGCTGGGCCGCTCCCCGGTGTGAGTCCGCTGGTGCCGCAGCAGCTTGGACCAGTGGCTGAAGCTCTTCCCGCACTCGTTGCAGATGAAGGGGCGCTGGCGTCCGCCCCGGTGCCGCGTCCCCCCCGCTTCCTCCTCCTCTTCCTCCTCGCCGTAGCCCCCAGCCGACGTGGCGGCGCCGGAGCTGGGTTGTGCCCCCCGTTTCTTGGCTTTGGGGGGCAGGGGGCTGTGCGGGATCACGGTCTGGATGATCTCGTGGGGCAGGACCTCGTCCTCGCAGTCACTCACGATGCCGTCGTCGGCTGCGGGGAGGGGAGAGAGAGAGGCTGGGGATGGGGCTGACACCCCCCACAGAACCACAGAACCCCAGCCTGGATTGGGTTCAAGGGGCCTTAAAGCTCCCCCAGCTCCAATCCAGCTCCAGGGACCCCTTCCACTGGAGCAGGGTGCTCCAAGCCCCTGTGTCCAACCTGGCCTTGAACACTGCCAGGGATGGGGCAGCCACAGCTCCTCCGGGCACCCTGTGCCAGCGCCTCAGCACCCTCCCAGGGAAGAGCTTCTGCCTCAGAGCTCATCTCAGTCTCCCCTCGGGCAGGTTCAAGCCATTCCCCTTGGCCTGTCCCTGTCCCTCCCATCCCTTGTCCCCAAGCCCCTCTCCAGGTTCCCTGGCAGCCCCTTCAGGCCCTGGAGCTGCTCTCAGGTCTCCCCTTCCCGCAGCAGAGGGGCAGGATCCCCTCCCAGAGCTGCTGCTCCCACTCTGGGGGTGCAGCCCCGCACTGGGGGGGGTGTTCTGGGCTCCAGCGCTCCCTGAAGCCAGCTCATGAGGAGCTTCCCATCAGGTCCATGGGGACAGGACCCCCCCCCACCCCCCCCTCGCCCCCTCCTCACCGATGTAAACCCTCCGGACCACGTCCCCCTCGTCCGAGTCGTGCAGCTCCACCACGCAGGGCTCCTCAGGCTCCATGGGGGCGGCCGCCGGGGGGCGCTGTGGGGCAGGGGGAGCCCTCAGCACCCCCACCTCACACAGGGGGACACACTCCCCCCCCAGGCTCCCCAACCCCATCCCCAGCTCCTCCCACATCCCCTTTAGCTCAGGTTGAGTCGGAGCCTGGCCTGAACCAGTGGGAGGAGTGGGGGGCGAATGGTCCCCCTGTGCCCTCCCAAATCCCCTCATGCACCCCCAAATCCCTTTGTCCTGCATCACATCCCTTCATTCCCCCCCCCCTCAACCCTCTGTGGGATTCCCCTGTCCCTTTGTGCCCCCCAGTCCCTTCATGCACCCCAATCCCTGTGTGCCCCCCAACCCCCCCCCCATCACCCCCCATTACCTGTGCCCAGGGGGGGTCTCGGGGGGCTCCTGCTGCTGCTCCCCACGGCTCTGCCCTGGCGCTGGACCCCAAAACACACACAGGAGGTTACAACCCCGCGGGGGGAGGATTCACTTGTTCCCCACCCCAGGGACCTGCCCCCCATTCACCCCCCACAGGGAGGCTGTAACCCCCCCGGTTCGGGTCCTGCAGCACTGGGGGGGTGAATCCGTCCCTGGGGGTCCCGGTGCCGGAGGGGAGAGGCCTCGGTGCGGGGGGGTCCGGGACCCCCCCGAGCATCCCCGGTTCTGGTCCCGGTTCCCCCCGTGCCCCCCCCCGCTCACCGGCCCCGTTGCGGCGGCTCCGCCGCTTCCGCCGCTTGCCCGGCCCGAGGGGGCGGTGGCTCCGCGGGCCGGCCCCCGAGGGGGGCTGGAGGGGGGGGGGACCCCCGGTACCACCCCCGGTACCGCCCCCGGGCGCGGGGCTGCGCCGGCAGCAGGGCCGGAGCACCCCGAGGTGCCTGCACCCCCTATTGGGGATGCTCTGTGCACCCCGCAAGCGCCTGCATCCCCATCCATAGCGCCTGCAGCACCCCAAAAGAACCTTGGTACCAACAAGGGTGCCCACTGCACCCCCAAAATGCTTGTCCCCCCTCCTGGGGGGCCTGGATGCTCGCTTTACCCCTCTCCATGGTGCCTGGAGCACCCAAAAGGGCCTTATCCCCCCCCCCGGGTGCCTGATGCACCCCAATAGGCGCCTGTACCTCACCTCCTGTATTGCTTTGTACACCCCAACAAAAGTGTCTGCGTCCCCATCCATGGTGCCTGGAGCACCCAAAAAGGCCCTTAACACCCCCCCAGGGTGCCTGATGCACCCCAATAGGTGCCTGTACCTCCCTCCTGTGATGCTTTGGGCACCCCAAAAGTGCCTGCATCCCCATCCATGGTGCCTGCAGCACCCCAAATGCTCCTGTACCCCCCCCCCCCAGGTGCCTGGTGCTCCCTAAAAGGTGGCTGTACCCGTCTCCATGGTGCTTGCAGCACCCCAAAAGAGCCTTAACTCCCCCCTCAGGGTGCCTGGAGCTCCCCCAGAGGTGTCTGTACCCCACTCATGGGGTGACTGGAGCACCCCAACAGTGTCCACATCCCCTCCCCCTGAGGATTCCCAGTGTACCCAAGGTGCTTGTACCCTCCTCCCAGGTTGCCTGCTCCGCCCCAAAACACCTTCACCCCCTCCCAGGATTCCAGTGCATCCCAAAAGTGCCCTTGCTGGTCCCCTGGGGTGCCTTCATGCACCCCAAAAGCACCTGCATCCCTCCCAGGATGCCCATTGCACCCCAAAGGTGCCTGTATCCCTTTTCCTTAGCGACTGATGCACACCAAAGGCATCCGTACCCCCCAAACCCGTGGTCCCCGAGCAGTGCCTGTACCACCCCAAAGATGCTCAGTGCGCCCCACAGGTGCTAAATCCCTCCCAGGATGCCCATTGCACCCAAAGATGCCTGTATCCTTCCCATGGTGCCTGATGCACCCCAAAGGTGCCTGCACCGCACCACCCGCAGTCCCCCAGCAGTGCCTGTACCACCCCAAAGATGCTCAGTGCACCCAAAGATGCTACATCCCCCCCAGGGTGCCCTGTGCACCCCAAAGGTGCCCACAGGCCCCTCTTGGGGTGCCCAGGATTGTGGCCCCCCCAAAGCTGCTCAATGCACCCAACGCACCCCAAAAGCTCCCCAGAGCACCCCCAGGTCTTCCAGTGCCCCCCAGAGCTGGCCCAGTGCAGGGTATGGGGGGGGTGCCAGGTCCCCTTCCAGGCGCCCCACACACACATCCGATGCCCCCCCATCTCCGGGCTGTTTTAGGGGGTCTTGTGGTTATTGGGGGCTAAAGCAGCCCAATCCCCACCCCTGCGCCGCACCCCGAGGGGGGAAACTGAGGCAGTGACCCCCCGCGTCCATTGACCCTAAACGGGAGGCCCCCCCTATGGAGGGGGGGGGGTCATGGCAGCGTTCCCTTTATTGGGGGGCTGGGGGGACCGAGCTGAGCCCCCCAACACATCAATGGGGGGGGCACAAGGGGTCTCGGAGCATCGCGCGGGGGGGCACAGGCGCTGCAGGGCTTTTGCCCCCCAAACCCTCCCCATTCCCCCCCCCTTTTTCCCCTCCTCTCCCTGCCTCAGTTTCCTCCCCCCCCCCCCGTTGATGCCCCGGGGGGGGGGGCGCGGCGCGGGGGCCGAGGGGCACAAAGGAACGGGGAAGCCCCGGGGGGACCCCCCCCACCCCCCTTCCAGCACCGCTCCCACAGCGGCTCCGCAGCCCCGGCCCCCCAAGATGGGGGGCGAGGGGGGGTCCCCATCCTCCTGCATCCCCCCCCCCCCCATCACCCCCAAGGGCAGCGGCTCATCCATGTGTGTGTGTCCCCCCCAAACCCGCCGGGCCCCCACTCACCTCTGTGGGGCTGGAGCGCCTGGGATCCGCGATGGGAACGGGCGCAGGGCTCGGAGCTGGGGGGGGGCTCTGGTGAAGGGTCCGGGTAGGGGTTGGGGGGGGGGACGATGCGCGGAGCTCGAGGCTGCTGCGGGGGAGGCCGGGAACAGGAAGGTCCCAGCCTCATCCCATTCCCCGGCCCCGCTGCCGCCGGATGCGCTTTTCCCACTCGGAGCACGGAAAACACGGGGGGGAGCCTCGGATAAAGGGGGGGGGGGCAGCCCTCGACACCCCCAAACCCCACAGAGAGGATGAGGGGGGGGAGGTCCTCCCTGGTGACGGGAAATCCGGGATTCAACCGGGATTCGGGTGTTTTTATGACCGCTCCGCTTGGGAAACGTTCCGGAGGGGGATTGGGAAGGGGGATGGAACGCGGCTGGGTTTGGGGGGGGGGCAACGGGAGGGGAAATGAGCGGCCGGATCCCCCCTTTATCCCCCCACATCGCTTTGTGTAACGGTTCGGCTCCAGCCCCGCGTTTTCCGCCCCCCCGGCGAAGGAAAATGGTTGGGAATGGTGCAAGGAGGCCAGAACGGGAGCGCGGGATCGGCCCCAGCACCCCGAGTGTTATAGGGGTGCAATGGGGGTGCAAGGGGGGATCTCCCCCCCCCGGGCCGCTGCGGAATCCGGCCCCGCGGGCACCGGGATCGCGGACGGGAAAAGCCTGCCCATGGCGGCGCTGGGATCGCGCCATTGACGCGGCCGCCGCCCCGGCCCCGGGGGGATCCGGATCCCTGCGGTGATGCCCGGGGAGCGCCGCTGCTCGGGAGCCGTTTATTGAGGGTCCCCGGTTTGGGGGGGTGGGGGGGGGGGGGGCTGAGCCTCGGCCCCGCTCCTGCCCGACGCGGCCCCCCGGCCCCGCGATGCCGGTGCCCACTGGTGGGGATGCGCCCCAAAGGCATCTCTTCCTGGGGCACTCATCCCGGTGTCCCCTGCATCCCCATCCCAGTGTCCTCATTCCCCATCCCAGTGTCCCTCTCCCCATCCCAGTGTCCCTCTCCCCATCCCAGCGTCCCTCTCCCCATCCCAGCGTCCCTATCCCCATCCCAGCATCCTTTTCCCCACCTCGGTGGCCCGTCCAGCATCCCAGCCCTGGAATCCTTGTCCCCATATCAGTGTCTCCATTCCAACATCCCCATTCCAATATCCCCAACCGTGAGTGTCCCCATCCCCATCCCAGCATCCCCATCTCAGCGTCCCCATTTCTGGTGTCCCCATCCCATCCTGGCATCCTCATTCTAGCGTCGCCATCCTGGTGTCCCCATCCCAGCATCTCCATCCCTTCATCCCACCCCCAATGTTCCCATCCTGATGTCCCCATTCCCATCCCTTCATCCCCATCCCAGTAGCTCCATCCTAGCATCATCATCCTGGCCTCCTCATTCCGGTGTCCCCATCCTGATGTCCCCAAACCCCATCCCTTCATCCCCCATCCCAGCACCCGCACCTTGGTGTCCCCATCCCAGTGTCCCATCCTGGCATCTTCATCCTGATGTCCTCATCCCAGTGTCCCCATCCTGATGTCCCCATCCCTTCATTGCCATCCCAATGTCCCATGGCTGGTGCTCCATCCCCATCCCAGTGTCCTCATCTTGGACTCTCCATCCCCATCCTGATGTCCCCATCCCCATCCTAATGCCCCCATCCCCATTCCAGTGTCCCCAACCCAGTGTCCCCAACCCAGTGTCTACATCCCAGTGTCCCCATCTTTGACTCTCCATTCCCCATCCTGATGTCCTCATCCAGTGTCCCCATCCCTTCATCGCCATGCCAATGTCCCCATGCTGATGCCTCCACCCCAACCCATTGTCCACATCCCAGTGTCCCCATCTTGGACTCTCCATCCCCATCCTGATGTCATCCTGGTGTCCCCATCCTGGTGTCCCCATCCCTTCATCGCCATGCCAATGTCCCCATGCTGATGCCTCCACCCCCACCCAGTGTCTCCATCCCAGTGTCCCCATCTTGGACTCTCCATCCCCCATCCTGATGTCCTCATGCCAGTGTCCCCATCCTAGTGTCCCCATCCCTTCATCGCCATCCCAATGTCCCCATGCTGATGCCTCCACCCCAACCCAGTGTTCCCATCCCAGTGTCCCCATCTTGTACACTCCATCCCCATCCTGGTGTCCCCATCCCTTCATCGCCATCCCAATGTCCCCATGCTGGTGCCTCCATCCCCATCCCAGTGTCCCCATCTTGGACTCTCCATCCCCATCCTGATGTCCCCATCCCCATCCTTGTGTCCCCATCCCGCTGTCCCCATCCCAATGTCCCCTTCCTGATGTTCCCATCCCAGCATCCCCATCCCGATGTCCCCATCCCTTCATCCCCATCCCAACGTCCCCATCACACGGCGTGAAGCTTCTGGTGCCGGCGGAGCTGGGCCTTGTGCCGGAAGCCATCCCCGCAGTCGGCGCAGACGTGGGGCCGCTCGCCGGTGTGGGTGCGCCGGTGCCGGATGAGGTTGGAGCTGACGCTGAAGCGCTTCCCGCACTCCCCGCAGCCGTAGGGCCGCTCCCCGGTGTGGGTCCGCTGGTGCTGGATGAGCGCCGAGCTCTCGCTGAAGCGCTTCCCGCAGGCGCCGCAGCCGTAGGGCTTCTCGCCGGTGTGGATGCGCCGGTGCGTCACCAGGTTGGAGTTCTGGCTGAAGCCTTTGCCGCAGGCGCCGCACCTGAAGGGCTTCTCGCCCGTGTGGGTGATCTGGTGCCGCGCCAGGTCCGAGCTGCGGCTGAAGCCCTTCCCGCACTCGCTGCAGATGGTGGGGCGCAGGCGGCCCCCCCGCAGCCCCCCCAGCAGCCCCAGGCCCCCCGCTTGTCCCGGTGCCTTGGCTGCTCCACGGGCCGGTGCCTTCCGTCGTGGCCGCGCTGGGCGCACGGGAGAGTCCCTGCCCGAGGCCGGCGGGATGGGGTGGGCTGTGGGGAGAGGAGAGCTGGGCACCAGCAGGACGCACTGGCATGGGTGGCACCGAGGGGTTGTGTCCCCCCTGTGCCGTCCCCTCTGTCCTCTTCTCCATCCCTTTTCCACCTTTTCTATCCCCGCTTCCCCTTCTCCATCCCCGCTTCCCCTTCCCCATTTGTTCTGCCCCTTCCCCACCTCCTCTTCCCCTTTCTCCATCATTATTTCTCCATCCCTTTTCTAACTCCATGCCCTCTTCCCCTTTTCCATCCCTTTTCCACCTTCTCCATCCCTTTTCCACCTTCTCCATCCCTTTTCCACCTTCTCCAACCCATCTTCCCTTTCTCTGTCCCCTCTTCCCCCTTCCTCTTCCCCTTCTTCATCCTCTTTCCACCTTTCCCATCCCCTCCATCCCCTTCTCCATCCCTTGTTCCCTTCTTCATCCCCTTTTCCACCTTTTCCACCCCTCTATCCCTCCTCCATCCCCTCTTCCCCTTCTCCATCACTTTTCCACCTTCTCCAACTCATCTTCCCTTTCTCTATCCCCTCTTCCCCGTTCCCTCTTCCCCTTCTTCATCCCATTTCCACCTTCCCAATCCCCTCTTCCCCTTCTCCATCCCTTCTTCCCTTCTCCATCCCCTTTTCCACCTTCCCTATCCCTCTGTCCCTTCTCCATCCCCTCTCCTCCTTCCTTCATCCCCTTCCCACCTTCCCCATCCCTCTCCACCTTCCCCCATCCCCTCTCCGGTTTGGGGACAGCAGTGACACCCCTGTCCCACTCCCAAGCCCAGGCTGAACTCCCGGTGCAGCCCCTGCTGCATGTCCTGCCCCCGGGATCAGATCATCCCCATGCCATGGGATTGGGACATCCCTGTACCCCGGGATCAGGGCATTGTCATGAAGTGGGATCAGAACATGCCCACACCATGGGATCAGGACGTCCCTGCACCCCAGAACTGGGGACATTCCCATGGTGTGGGAGCAAGGTACCCGAGATCAGATCTTCAGCATGCCATAGGACGGGACATCCCACGATGTGGTACTGGGGCATCCCTGCATCCTGGGATCAGTGTCCCCTGCACAGTGATGGGGGATCCCTGCATCCCTAAACTGAGGCTCCCCACACCACACAGCAGGGACATCCCTGCGCCCTGGGACTGGAGCATCCCTGTGCTGTGGGGCTGTGACATCCCTGCACTGTGAGATTGAGGTATCTGGATGCCATGGGGAACCCCTGCACCCCGGGACTTGGATTGCCCCACAGCATGGGACATCCGCTAACCGCAGATCAGAGCATCCCTTCACCATGCACCGGGACACAGCTGTGCTGCAGGGATGCGGTACCACCATGCCACTGGACCTGGGTACCTGCACCCCAGGACTGGAGCATCCCCTCCTTCTGTAACCAGGGCAACCCCACACCAAGGGATGGGGGCACCCCCATACCCTGTAATCAGGGTAACCCCTTGCCATGGGAATGGACATCCCTGGATCCCTTATAACACACCCCCATACCCCAGGAACAGGGTATCCCAATGCAATGGGAATGGCACATCCCTGCACGCCAGGGCTGGGATACCTCTGTGCTGTGGATCGTTGTAGCCCCATACTTAGGGGTATCCTTGTGCCATGGGAATGGAGCTGCGATACCCCTGTGCTGTGACATCGGGGTGCCCCCATGCCATGGGAACAGGACATCCCCCATCCCCTGGAGCACCCACATAGCAGGAATCAGAGCAGCCCCACACAATGGGAACGGGAGAACCCCCATAAGAAACTCAGCACCCCACAAGGAAACCACCACAGCCCCTCACACATGGCCAGGAGCTGCTTTTTTTTGGGGGGGGGATGTGTCTCACCTGCGGGGGTCCCCTCTGGCACCTCCTGTGGGTCCCGGGCGGGCGCTTGCCCCTCCGCATCCATCGCTGCCATCCCAGCCACGCTCAGACGGGGCGATCCTGACCGGGATGGGGGGGCAAAGAGATGGGGTGACACGTGGGGGGGGGGGGGTCCCCATCCCATCCATGCCCCAGCTCCTGATAGTGCGGGGGGGGGCACCAAGCCCATGGGTTGCGGTTTGAGGCATCCCCATCGCGAACCCCCCCTTCCCCTCCTGACACCACCCCCCAATCTGGGGAAGGGGCCGCGCTCCCCCCGAGCATCGCCATCATCACGGGAAGGGGGGAAAGGGGCGGGGGGGGGGGTGTCCCCTGTTCTGCCTCTTTTTTTTTGGGGGGGGGGGGTCCCGGCCCCACTCACCGCTGCAGCCGGGCCGGCCCGGGGAGGAGCGGGGCCGCGGCGGAGCGGGCTCTCCTCATGGCCGCCCTCGGCTGCCGCATGGCGAGGCCGCGGGGCCCCGGGGCTGTGCCCCCCCTCTATGGGGTGGGGGGGGGGGGGGGGGTGGTATTTGGGGTGTTTGCCCCCCCCCCATTGTGGGTTTGGGGGGGGGATTTGGGGGTGCCCCGTCCATGGTGGGTCTGGGGGCACTAGGCCTCGTTGCCATGGTGACACCGGGAGCGGGGTACCCCCCGCCATGGCTCCAGGTTGGGGCCGAGGAACCCAGGGGGTCCTCAGGGAGACAGCGGATTGGTGGAGAGAGAGGAGAGAGGCGGGGCTTGCGGGCGGGCACGGGAGGCGATTGGAGGAGAGCAAAGAGCGGGGGCGGGCACGCGACACCGCTGAAGGCGGGGAAGAGGCGGAGCCTCGAGGGACGCCGGGAGCCGGATTGGTGGAGAGGTGGCGTGGCATCTGCTTGCGCATGCGCTGAGGCGTCACTTCCGGGTGGCGGCGGCTTCCGTCTGTCTCTGGGCCTGGAGCGGCCGCGCTGGGGCTGCGCGAACCCCGGGACCCCCCCACGGGACCCCCCCACGTGACCCCCCCCGGGACCCCCTTAGCACCGGGACCCCCCCACGGGACCCCCGTTAGCACCGGGACCCCCCCCACGGGACCCCCGTTAGCACCGGGACCCCCCCACGGGACCCCCGTTAACACCGGGACCCCCCCCACGGGACCCCCCCCACGGGACCCCCGTTAGCACCGGGACCCCCCCCACGGGACCCCCTTTAGCACCGGGACCCCTCCACGGGACGCCCGTTAGCACCGGGACTCCCCCCACGGGTTTCCCCCACGGGACCCCCCCCACGGGATCCCCGTTAACACCGGGACCCCCCCACGGGACCCCCGTTAGCACCGGGACCCCCCCCCCGCCCCTGCCCGCCGCCCCGGAGGGGGAGCCGCTGAGGGCCTGAGGCCGGGGGCTCGTCGGGGCCGCCCGGGGCATGCTGCCGTCGGCCCCGCACTATGTGGTACATCATGCAGAGCATCCAGAGCAAGTACTCGCTGTCGGAGCGGCTCATCCGCACCATCGCCGCCATCCGCTCCTTCCCGCGGGACAACGTGGAGGATCTCATAGGCAGGGTGAGACCCCAGCCAGGCCCGCAGGGGCTTAGGGGAGGGCTCCGCGGTGGGACGCCCCGTCCGGTGCCCCGAAGCTGCGGGTCGGGCCGCGGGTATGGGTCCCCGCTGTTGGAACACCCGGGAGGGTGAGGGGCTGGTGGGGCTGGAGCCCGTCCTTGCCCCCACGGAGGGTGGATCTGGAGCTTTGCCTAGGTCGGGGCAACCACGGGTACCAGCACAGGCTGGGGATGGAGGGGTTGAGAGTAACCCTGAGGGGAAGGACTTGGGGTGTTGGGTGAGGAGAGGCTCCCCGTGACTTGGCTTCAGTGGGCACTTGAGCCCAGAACCCCCCCGTGTGCTGGGTGCATCCCCAGACCGTGAGCAGCAGCTCAGGGAGGGGATCCTGACCCTCTGCTGTGCTCTGGGGAGACCCCCCCTGCAGTCCTGACCCAGCTCTGGGGCAGCAGCACAAGAGGGACGTGGAGCTGCTGGAGGGAGGCCAAGGGGATGCTACAAGGGCTGGAGCAGCTCTGCTCTGGAGCCAGGCTGAGAGAGCTGGGCTGGGGCAGCCTGGAGAAGAGAAGGCTCCTGAAGGGGAGACCTTATCGTGGCCTTTTAGTTCTTAAAAGGGGCCTGTAAGAAAGATGGAGAGAGACTTTTCAGCCTAGCCTATTGTGACAAGATGAGGGGTGATGGTTTTAAACCAGGAGAGGAGATTCAGTCTGAATGTGGGGAAGCAATCCTTTGCAATGAGGGTGGTAAAACCCTGGCACAGGCTGCCCAGAGAGGTGGTGGATGCCTCATTCCTGGAGGCATTCCAGGCCAGGCTGGATGTCGTTCTGGGCTACCTGATCTAGTTGAAGGTGTCCCAGCTTATTGAGGGGGAATTGGCCTAGATGAGCTTTAGGGTCCCTCCCAACCCAAGCTATTCCATGATTCACCTCAGCCCGGGTCACTCCTGTGGGCACTGGAGAGCCCTGGCTGCGCCTGACGGCTCCAGGCAGCTGGTGAGCTATTTTGGGTGGTGAGGCCACTGCAAAGCATCATAAACCTCCTTGGAGACACCCTTGGAAAGCCCCCGAGCCCCCGGGTTCAGCTCAGGGCTGTGTCCCACCAGGGATGCTCCCATGCCATGCCAGAGCCTCACCGGTGGCTTCTGAACCACTGCTGGTGAGCCAGAGACCCCAATTCCCTTTCCAACCCCTCCTCTGGGCCCATCCAGCCTCACACCAGCCATTCCTTAAGATCCCTCCGGAGCAGAGAGTCGGCACATGGAGGATAACCACCTCCATGGGTCACACCAACCCCCTGCAGCGCTCGATGTCTTCAGGCATCATTTAGTGATGATAAATGAACTAAACCCAAAGCCTGGAGCAATGCATGAGCTCCTGCCCCTCAGGGAGCTCCGTGCAAGCCCTGAAGCAAGCCCCCAGGCTGTGCAGGAGGGGTGATGACACTTCTCCATTAACAAACCTCGGGGGGGGGGGGGGCTGGAGGTGCTGTTTGGGTTGGAAGGGCCAGGCTGGGCCGGTTTGCTGGTCCCAGCTGGGCTTTGCTGTGCTCTCCAGGGTGCAGATGTGAACTGCATGCACGGGACGCTGAAGCCGCTGCACTGCGCCTGCATGGTGGCTGATGCCGACTGCGTCGAGCTCCTGCTGCAGAAGGGAGCAGAGGTAGGCCTTGAAACTATAAAAGCACGGTAAAAAGATAAAGGGCCCTTTGAAACAGGGGGCTGGGGAGTTGGGAGGCTGGGGCTGGAGCCCGTGAGATTATGTGGTACTGTTTTTGTGTTGGTGGAGGCCAGTGTGAACCTCGTGGGGCTCAGTGAGGCCAAGGGCAAGGTCCTGCGTCTGGGTCGGGGCAATCAACACGGACACAGGCTTGGGAGACCTTAGAGCAGCTCCAGTGCCTAAAGGGGCTACAAGAAACCTGGAGAGGGGCTTTGGACAAGGGATGGAGGGACAGGACAAGGGGAATGGCTTTAACCTGCCCGAGGGGAGACTGAGATGAGCTCTGGGGCAGAAGCTCTTCCCTGTGAGGGTGCTGAGGCGCTGGCACAGGGTGCACAGAGAAGCTGTGGCTGCCCCATCCCTGGCAGAGCTCAAGGCCAGGTTGGACACAGGGGCTTGGAGCACCCTCCTCCAGTGGAAGGTGTCCCTGCCCGTGGCAGGAGGTTGGAGCTGGAGGAGCTTTAAGGTCCCTTCCCACCCGACACATTCCATGATTCTATGGTTTCGTGCCCCTTGCAAGGTAAAATGGACCCAGGTGAAGGTTTCTCATCCCACCAGGGAGTGCAGTGTTTGTGCCTGAGGTCTTGGGGTGCCCTTTCATCTGGGAGATGGAATCCTGAAGGAAATGAAACCTCTATGGTGCCTCATTTGTGGCACTTCCTTCTGGCTGCTCTTCAGGTCCCGTCGTCCCCCCCACCTCATCTTCCCACCCACTAGACTTGGGACGTGGGAATGCTTTCACGCCATGGAGCTTCCCTTGATGCCCTCAGGAGCCCTGAACCCATTCTCCTCTCTCCCCTCATCCTGCAGGTGAACGCTCTGGATGGCTACAACCGCACAGCCCTTCACTACGCGGCGGAGAAGGACGAAACGTGCGTGGAAATCCTCTTGGAATACGGCGCCAACCCCAACGCCCTGGACGGGAACAAGGACACCCCCCTGCATTGGGCGGCCTTCAAGAACAACGCGGAGTGCGTGCGGGCGCTGCTGGAGAACGGCGCCCTGGTCAACGCCCGTGACTACAACAACGACACCCCCCTGAGCTGGGCCGCCATGAAGGGCAACCTGGAGAGCGTCAGCGTCCTGCTCGACTTCGGCGCCGAGGTCCGCGTGGTCAACCTCAAAGGGCAAAGCCCCATCTCCCGTCTGGTGGCGTTGCTGGTGCGGGGCTTGGGGACGGAGCGGGAGGATTCCTGCTTCGATCTTCTCCATCGCGCCATCGGACACTTTGAGCTGAGGAAGAACGGGAGCATGCCCTGGGAGGTGACCAGGGACCAGCAGCTCTGCCAGAAGCTCACCCTGCTCTGCTCGGCCCCGGGGACACTGCAGACGCTGTCGCGTTACGCCGTGCGCCGCAGCCTGGGCGTGCGGTTCCTGCCGGAGGCCGTGAAGCAGCTGCCTCTGCCCACCTGCCTCAAGGAGTACGTGCTGCTGCTCAGCTAAGCCAAGGACGGGGCGCCGGGAGGATGAAGGACGAGGATGGTTTGGGATTCGTGGGTGCTGCATTCCCCTCCCCACTCACTGGTGGTCAGCCTGCTCTGCCCAGCAGGGAGCCAGCCGTGCTGCTGTGCCCTCAGCGCCTGCTCGGCGGCTCCTGCCACGCTCTCCCTTCTTGAGATGAACTGACCCCTTTTCATGGCAGATTACACCCCAGCTGATGAATTAACCTGGCTTTTCCCCTCTGTTTTTTTTTTGCCCTGGGGAAAGGAAAGCTTTCTAGGCATGAGGAGAGCAGGGAGAGCCTCCTTTGGAGGCAGGAACGCAAGAGGAGGTGTTCTCAGGCCCACAGAATCCTGTGGGACGTGGATTAAGCCTCCTTAAATGTATGTAGTGAACCTGTGTGCAGCCAGCACCTTCGCTCACCGCTTGGACCCACACATGGCAACAACGCCCTGCAGATGGGAAGAGCTTGTGTGTCCTCATCCCCTCAATGCCTGGAAATGTGTTTTTCCCTTCTTATCTCTAAGATGTGTCACTGCTGGAGAGGGGAAGAGGGTGGGAGCACCCCAAAAGCCAACACTTGGCTTCCTGCTCCAGAGTAGCTCCACTCGGAGCTGGGGATGCTCCATGCACCTGAGCAGGGGGTCTCCCCCCATCTGCCAACACCATAACCCCCCCAAGCCCCTCCTTAGCTTTGGTTTTCACCATTAACTCACTGTTGTTGATTTTATGTGTGTGTGTGTGTGTATGGACTTCAGGAGGAGGAGTGAGGATGTGCTGGCAGGGGGCACCGGGCAGGACCCCCGCGGGCAGCACCCATTCTCCCTTTGCTCCGTCATGTATCCATGGAAATAAACTTTGGAAAGTGCATGTGTGTCACCCACTCGAGGCTGGGGATCAGTCCCACTCCTTTGGGGTCCTCACTGAAGCAGGGAGGGTGCCTCAGGATGGGGTTTGGGGGTGCTGCTGCTGGTGGTCCCGTTCCTGTGCTTGGGTTTGGCACCTGACACAGGCCCCATCCATGGTTGTGCCTTGGCAAACACTCATCCCTCTGAGCTCTGCATGGGTTTAACCTCTGAGCACAGCCTGAACCCTCTGATCCACCCTTTACCCCTTGGCTTGGGGAAGGGTTTGGGATGCATCATCCTCCCATGTGTGCATTCCTCACCCTGGGATCCTCCAGGAGAGCTGCCCATGCTCAGGGAAGGTGACATCAGGTGCCTCAACTTTGATCATTGCTTGATACTTGGAGGGGGGGGAACTCAGATTGGAAATGTTGGATTCCTCCCTGTTATCCTGGGAGACAAAGCCAGTGGGCCCAGGGGTGTGTGCAGGAGCCATATTCACCTTCCCATGGGATGAGCACCGGAGGCTGGAGCCTGATCCACGTTTGCCACCATGAGTGAGTGAGGGGTTTATTGAAGCATCTTCACTGTGAATTGTTAAGACTAAAGTGGTGTCCCTGGGGCTCTTGCTCTCAGCTCATTGTGACATCCCACCTACACATGGGGAGCTGCTTTTCTCCTTTAAAAGCCCATAAAGTACCTAAACCAACCCCAGATTTACCCTTAGGAAGCCCTGTGATTGGGGAAAAGCAGCTTTGTGGCACAGCAGCGGGTGCCCTTGGGGTGCAGGGCTGCTGCCCTGGCTGGGGCAGGGGAAGCCTCTCAGTTGTTGGACTCGAGTGAGATCCCTTTGCGTGTGATGTGCTCCAGGTGGGCTGTCTCTGAGGTGTCCAGCTCGATGTTGTACTTGGCCAGGATCTTCAGGATGGGGCGAAGCTTCAGCCACCACTGCTCCTTCGGGATGCGGTGCCTGGGTGGGAGACAGACAGCAACGTGATGGTCCTGCATGGGGACCACGTGCATCACCCGAGGGCAGCATTCCCAGCCTGCACTGATCCTTCCTGGGGCTGGAGCTCAGCCTCAGGAGCAAGGGAGCAAGGGGGCACCTACTCGAAGTCCGTCTCCTCCTTGAGCTCGGTGAGGGGCTGGAAGACGAGGCTGCGCTTGCGCATTCCCAACAGGCAGGCCGAGTCCTTCGTGTTGGCGAAGATCCGGCCTGGGAGGGAGGGAGGGAGGGAAGGAGGAGGCTCAGGAGGGGGAAGCACCCCTACATCTGCATGGGGGCCTTTACATTGAGGTGTGGGAGCTGGGGGGTGCTTTTGGCAATACCCCCCCCCCCCATGGCAGTGGGGAAGTGAGGCAGAGAAACCCCCCTTAGCACAGCACCCACCGTGCCGGGTGCACTCCTTGATCTTCCCAGTGATCCAGGCCACAGCCTTGGCACCCATTTTGGTGCCAAAGTTCCTGTCGAAGGGGGTCGGGGTGCCGCCCTGTGCCGGAAAAATCATGGAATCATGGAATGGGCTGGGTGGGAAGGGACCTTAAAGCTCCTCCAGTTCCAACCACTAGAGCAGCTTGCTCCAAGCCCCATCCAACCTGGCCTTGAGCATCTCCAGTCCCTGGTGCACAGGTCCCCCTTCCCCGGGGACCACCTTCCTGTTGCCTGGGGGGTTCCCTACCTGCTGCATGTGCCCCAGCACGTTCTTCCTGCAGTCGAAGATGCCCTTCCCTTCCTCTGAGTAGAGGTTGTAGATGAAGTCCGTGGTGTAGTTCTCGTTGCACCGCTCATTCCTGCACCAAGGAAGGGAGATGGGCTCATGGGGGTGACATGAGCATGACAGGTCTCAGCTCCCCCCCATCCCAACACAGGCACGGACCTGAGCACCAGCCCCCTCTTCACCGTCGTCTTCATCTTCTCAGTTAAATGCTCCACGTTGACCTACGTAGAGCAGGAAACAGGCATTGGGAGCGCTTGGAAAATGGGAATTAATACAGCTCCTACCGCCATGGGGCTGCGGCACTGCCCGGAATGGGGGCACCCAGCGTGAGGGGGGGTCCCCAACCTGCAAGTCGTGGATGTTAAAGCGTTCCTCATAGATGTAGGCAGCGTCAGCACCGCCCGCCAGCCCCGCCATGGTGGCCAAGTAGCCGCAGAAGCCGCCCATGGTCTCGATGATGAAGACGCGGCGCTTGGTCCCCGCCGCCGACTGCTTGATGCGGTCGCAGGTCTGCGGAGGTGCAGGAATTGGGGTGGAATAAAGGGATTTAGGTGAATGCTGCTGTTACACGGGGAGGGGGGCGCGGGGCTGCACCGTGGTGATGGTGTTGAGCGCGGTATCGGCGCCGATGCTGAAGTCGGAGCCGGGGACGTTATTGGAGACTGTGGCGGGGATGACGCAGAGTGGGATGCAGAGCTCCTCGAACTTGGCTCTTCCCTCCATCAGCTCCAGGCTGCCCGTGAAAGCCTGGGGGACATGGGGTGTTGGTGCTGCTCTGGTGCTGGTGCTGGTGCAGTGCTGGTGCTGCCTGCACCCACCACCCCATTCACCTCAAAGCCGCCGATGATGATCAGTCCATGGATGCCAAAGCTGCTGATGTTGATGCTGATTTCCTCAAAGTATTTCTTGGGCAAGGTCCTGGGGGGGGGGAGGAGAAGCATCTGTGGCTGATCCTGCCCGGGGTGGGGGGCTCAACCTGGGGACCCCCCCCCTCCACATTACCTCTTTGTCCCCAGTTTGGATCCTCCCAGCCCTATCCAGCTGCCGACGCGCTCCCAGCTGATCTCTTCTATCTGGGGGTAAAGCAGCATGATAAAGGGGTACAGGAGGAGGATTTGGGGGTCCGTATCAAAGCGTTACCGGGGTAACCCAGTGCTCCCCATGCCAGGACCATCAGCAGGATGAACCATGGTGGGGCTGGGGTTGAACCTCCCCATCCCGGGGGATCCCCTTTCCCTATGAGGCCGTGTCTGCTGGTTTGGGGGCCATTCCCTGCCCTCTGCCCCCCCCATTCCCAAGGCTCCCACCTTGCCCTCAGCGAGCCCCTCGAAGCCATCGTGCACGGCCAGCATGCGGTGCCCATGGATGAGCCCGATGCGCACGGTTGACCTGACAGCGGCGTTCATGCCGGCAGCCGGGGCACCCACGTTGAGCACAGCCAGTGTGTAACCACTCTGTGGGGGACAGAGCCGGTGTGGGGGATCTGTGGGGCTCGGGGGGGGTCCCCGTTACCCCATCCCTGTGGCCGTACCTTGGTGGAGGGTGGGCGGATGTGCGCCAGCAGCTTGTAGACATTCCAGTTGTTCTGGAAGCTCCTGCAATGGGGGAGGTGTGTGAGGGACCCTGGGGTGGCCGCGGCTCAGGGTGCTCTGTGGGGTCGGGGTGTGGGTGCTCACCGGCCCCGCAGCTTCAGGGCATCCTCAAAGCGGCCCTCGTTCATCGCTGTTGTCACGTCTTTGGTCTGTGGGGAGCAAATGGCATTTGGGTTGGGTTGGATTGGGTTGGGTGGGTTTGGGTTGGATTGGATTAGGTTGTGTTGGGTTGGGTCGGGTGGGTTTGGGTTGGATTGGGTGGGGTTGGATTGGGTTGGGTTGGATTGGGTTTTGTTGGGTTAGGTGGCTTTGGGTTGGATTGTGTTGAGTGGGTTTGGTTGGGTGGGTTTGGGTGGGATTGAGTTGGGTTGGGTTGGGATGGGTTGGATTGGGTGGGTTTGGGTTGGATTGAGTTGGGTTGGATTGTGTTGAGTGAGTTGGGTTGGGTGGGTTTGGGTTGGATTGAGTTGGGTTTGATTGGGTTGGATTGTGTTGAGTGGGTTTGGTTGGGTGGGTTTGGGTGTGATTGAGTTGGGTTGGATTGGGATGGGTTGGATTGGTTTGGATTGGGTGGGGTTGGGTTGGATTGAGTTGGGTTGGATTGTGTTGAGTGAGTTGGGTTGGGTGGGTTTGGGTTGGATTGAGTTGGGTTTGATTGGGTTGGATTGTGTTGAGTGGGTTTGGTTGGGTGGGTTTGGGTGGGATTGAGTTGGGTTGGATTGGGATGGGTTGGATTGGTTTGGATTGGGTGAGTTTGGGTTGGATTGAGTTGGGTTGGATTGTGTTGAGTGAGTTGGGTTGGGTGGGTTTGGGCTGGATTGAGTTGGATTTGATTGGGTTGGGTTGAGTTGAGTGGGTTTGGTTGGGTGGGTTTGGGTTGGATTGGATGGGTTTGGGTGGGTTTGGGTTGGGTTGGATGGGTTTGGATTGTGTTGGTTGAGTTTGGATTCTGTTGGTTGGGTTTGGGTTGGGTTGAGTTGGGTTAGGGATGAATTGGGTAGGTTTGGGTTGGATTGAGTTGGTTTGGGTTGTGTTGGGTGGGTTGGGGTTGGGTGGGGTTGGGTTTGGGTTTGGGTTTGAGTTTGGCTTGGGTTGGGTGGGTTTGGGTTTGGGTTTGGGTTGGGTGGGTTTGGGTTTGGGTTGGGTTGGGTGGGTTTGAGTTTGAGGTTGGGTTGGGTGGGTTTGGGTTTGGGTTGGCTTGGATTGGTTTGGTTGAGTGGGTTTGGGTTGGATTGAGTGTGTTTGCACCCTGTTAGGTGGGTTTGCACAGGACCGGGTGGGGTTGGGTTGCATTAGATGGGTTTAAATTACACTGGATGGGTTTGAATTGCATTGGATGGGTTTGCACCACGTTGGATGGGTTTGCACAGCACTGGGTGGGTTTTCATGGTGTTGGATGGCTTTATATGGCATTGGGTGGGTTTCCACATTGGGTTTGACCCCCTGGGGGCCCCGTCCCCTACTCACCACCTGCACACACTCCATCAGGGGCAGGCGCACGGCCTGGTTGCCCGAGAGGCTGACGACGCAGGCGGGGGTTTCGGGGGTCGCCTCCAGCAGTGCCATGACGGCTTCAACCCCCATGCGGCTCCCCTGCAGGGACAGGGCTGGGATGTTACCCCCAGACCCCCCAGACCCCGATCTCAAAGGGCTGGGGGGGGGAGCTGCCTACCAAGATGCGGTCGAAGGCAGAGGGTGTCCCACCGCGCTGCA